CAAGAATTACTGACAGTTTAGAAACATTCATTATGAACATAATTGGAAGGGTAAGAGGTCTACGACAAATTCCCAAAGTGAATTGTATTTCATGTAAAAATGTTTTCTGAACAAGGTGGTAGGTCAAACCAATCAGGAGCAGACGGTGAATTCCTCTTGGTCTTGATTCCATTTATAACGTACTCAGCATTCAATCTATTTGAGCTGAATTCACCTTTTTTCATTATGGTTGATGAAGGATTGGTAGTTGAATTTTCCCACAACGCTATGAATAGAGCCGAAACGAAATAGGGTGAATACATCTCGTATAACTGATATGATATGGATTTGATTGTGACTGACAAGCTGTTTCGTTATCAAAATCTCTTACATTATGATTCTTCAATGTTTACGAGAGAGCTTATCCATAAATGTTGTATATCCTCCGATGGAAATTAATTTTGTTGAGCCCTATGATGGTGCCCGTCACGTGATATAACGACGCAAAGCATAATGAGTTCTCTCATAAAGTCCAAGAAAAATGAGAGAATGAGAGCCGTTCTTTTCTAGTAAGAAAGACTCATAATCATCAAATATTTGCACTAAATAAAAACCGGTTCAACGAAATATTTCGACTTCAAAATTCAGCAAACCATCAAAGTGTCAAATATTTTTGCTTTCTAGTAACTCGCGAAGCCACATTGCCTTATGCTAGAGAATACAGTACTTTCCCCCTCAGGAGAATGTATCATTAAATGGTCACTAAGTTTATTGCAATAACAATATTATGCCACAGCCTTTGTTCTTGTACTTTAAACTCGAAAGATCTGCTTTTATATTGGGCAATATCTGGGGTTTTAAAAGTGTATTAAACACAAAAGAAACCAGGCTTTTTGCCATTTTTAGTACTCTACTATAGCAATTAATTGTATGTATGAAGTATATTATAATACATGTTATATTATTACTGTTATTATTATTAAATTATTTTCTATTATTATAGTCGTTAGTAGACTGGAACAGGATAGAACTGGTTTAATATTAAATCACTATAAAGAGTATGTATCAAATCCTAATCATATTAAGGCTAACCAGTAAAATTATTTCTTAAAATAAACCATGCAATCAAGAATTTTGTGCCGAGTTTTATTCTACTCTTACTCATGCCCTACACTTTTGAAAACCAATATAAAGTCATAAAAACAGAAACCAGCTTTGATAGCTGGTGTGACGGCAAAGTTTCGCATTTTGAAATGAGTAAATGACTTCAAAACATATTTAAATGCATTAACCCAATTTATTTTATGGTGATAAAGGACTGATAATTGAGTCTTCCCGCAATGCAAGGAGCAGGCCTTATTTTTCCATTGAATTTCGCATAGTCTTGCTTCTCAATAAGTATTCTCATCCGTTTAGGAAGCAAGATTATTTGAAATAAAACGAAAACGTCATACCTATTCCTATCATTATTGAAAAATTCAACAACCGGTACTTATTCACCTAAGGGGAAATTGGGTGAATACATCTCATATATGTGATCTACTGGTAGTCTCGAAAACGTATGTGTATAAGCGAAAAACGACTTCACAATGTCTATTAGTACTTATAAAAGACACAAATGTCTCGAAACCTACTCTCTAACTTAGTAGTAATGTCATCGATTATTGTGACAAATAATAGTTCGTCATGCCAACCAAAATTCCTCTATGAAATGCGAATTTGAAGAAGCTTAGTATATCTGAGAACAACAATTGTTCTGTGGCATACTTACACTCTCGACTGTGTGACAGATTGATATTCTTGCCGCTTGATACGTGATGCCTAGCCTAGAATCCCATTGGGAGTGCTAGTATGAGCAAGACGAGGTTGAAATGGTAATCCAGCCAGAAGGTAGAATCCTTTTGTGAAGTAAAGTTCAATGGAATCGTAAGACTCTCAACTTATTTTATGCCGGAAACTTCAACTCTCAAGCCTTGCATCTCTTATAGCTACTTAAGGTGGCGATCTCTTGAGAAAAATCAACCGATACTTTCCAAACGTTTTCACTATGTATATGCCGAGCTTAAATGTATAAAAAATTAGAATGAGGATTGAATTAGTGCTTATGTGAAGGTAATTTATTCAAGAGTTTTAAACCTGAGGTATAGGTACTAAATGATAACTTGATCAGACTGTGACGTTTATTTATTGTGATAAACAAGTAATAGTGTATATGAAATTCATCAGAGTTTGCGCAGGTTTCAGAGACTTCCCAATCATTTTTAAGGAATATACTCTCATATTTTGCAGAATCTTAATTTTTTCATCTGCTTTGGCGTCCCTTAGGGTTTGGCTGATTGTGATATTTATTTCGCCCATTTTGTCGGCCGATAGTTGTTGGATTTTTTTGTATTCTGGGCTGAATTCAATTGATCTTTTCATCTCGGGGAAGTATCATGATATCAGCGTTAGTGAATATGACTGCTCCAGTTTAAATAGGCAAGTGTATAATCTACTCATTTGTATAGTCGAGACGTGTATATAATCCAATTCTCATTTATGCCCGTTCCCTTAGGCGGTTGCCAACCGACAACAGCGTCTTGTTGGGGCCCTAATGCAAAAGATCTGCCAATCTGGCAAGGGTGGCACTGAAACCAAGTACTGTGTTGAAGTATATTCAAATAGGAGAATTTATCCGTTCGTTTGCGTAATCTCCTTCCCTTGACCTCAACTCATCTATATTCGATGTAGGCATTCGGCTATCTATGAAGGCTTTCTTCAGGTCCTTTCCATACTCGAATCGAGTCGAGAAATCCAGGAGCCTCTTCCAGTGTTGGTGTTACAGAGAATTCACTTTGCTGTTCCAAGCTTTGGTAACTGATTATTCAATCAGCCTCATCGTATTCTGTATTTCAAAAGACTGGAAGGTAACCGAAGCAGATCTCTCTATTTCGTATCAGAAGGCTTACAAAATCCCTGTCATGCTCTATTTGCTTAGCAACAAACTGTTGTTGACAAATAGCACAACACGATTCCAACATTCAGGTAATAAGCGCCACATTCAGATAGCCACAAAATCTTTCAAAAAATCCAAATTTGCAAAGAACATATGCATTTTATTTGTGTCTGCTCTTCTTGTTTCATTTAAGACAAAAAATTTCCCTTGCACTGAACCCGAGTATTGCCATAAACAAGAGACATCTTGCAGATTGGGGTTAACAAGTGAATGACAAGGAAGTACGAATACTTTGTCGGCATCATAAAAGTAAATAGCATGCGCTATCCTCAGGCTAGACTGGTAGCTCATCAAGCCTAAACTGATCTGATGGGAAAATAACTGGCTGCTGGCCGATGTTCTGCCATTGAATAGATTAACTTTTTGACTAAGTGAATAAAGAATGAGATCTTTGGGTGTGGGGAAGAGGATTGGTTGGACTAATAGGTAAGCTCGATAAGAAGTGCAAGCAGAAGTCGACCAGAGAAGACCGCAGCGCTAACGAATGAGTGATTTCACAAACGACCTCAGAAACACTGGAGTTGGATTGAGAAAATCCCCACTAACTGAAGGGGGAATAAAATACATGTATCAAGAGGGGATAATTTAAGATCTTCTGAATGATTCTAATGAGATAGTTGCCCTCTGCAAGCAGGGGGCCTCAGTTCTCAAAATGGTAAACTCAAGTAAATGTATATATATATATTCTTGTGTGTGTGTGTGTGTGTGTGTGTGTTAAGACAGGTGTGTGATGCGTATATACGATACATTAAGATTGATCACACTGTGTACTTGAATTTGTCTTTAATTCTGGCTCATCTCTTCGAATATCACGCAATTAAAGTGAGATACTGCATATACAATGGGTGCCGAGGGGGTGCATTGGGAGAAAATAGAGTACATTGCACTATAAATCTATGTCCACTTTCCTTGGATTGCCGACGAGGCAGTGTAAGGAGTGGGGTACCCCAAACAAAGGGTATAGTTGGAGTTGTTGCCCTTAAGAGAGGACAAAACTGGTTGACTATTGGTGCTCTCAAAGTAACGTCTGAGGCCGACTGTTACGTTAACATGAGGCAAATTCTATTGCCTGCTAAGCATAAAAGCCATCATACAGACTTTCACTAAAGACTGCGTATGCATGTGCGTATTTGTGCATTGGTTCGTAAGAAGAACATACGATCTAATCGTATGTTGACCTTCCAGAGAATTGGTGAAGAAGAAAGCTTCAAGAAGAATGAGGGAAAAGTCTAAAACCTCTGATAGGGTTCAGCCGAAATGCCAGCTTAAAAAGCCTATACATACATGTCAGTGTAATACTGTTTGCGCCGTTGGTAGATTGGTAGGTTGGTAGGCTTTAACCGCAATGACACCAAATGTGTCCCGGGGTAGTCTGCAACCGAGTGATGCAGTGTCACTCTTCAGTTGGTAGATGTTTGTGTCTACCTTTTCTATATATGTATGTTTTAGTATACTTAATTGGGTGTGCATGTGTGCATACATATTTATGTGTGTGCACGCGTGTGAATAAATTCAAAGTTGGGTATGCACAGAAAATAAGCAAGAGGAATGGTTGCGGTAGGTTTGCTCAAGGTAGCAATAGAAGCGATGGCAATACGAGTTAAATCAATGAGATTAGGTAGCTTCTTGAGGATCATTCAGATCACAGGAGACGTGGCGTTGGAACACGGGACCGAAAGTTGGAGGGAGTATATATCTGTGATGGGACAGACTTGCACAAAAGTATTCACACCCAATGGTATGAGTATGATTAATTAGATATTCCTGTGTGTGTGTGTGCGTGGGTGTGTTTATATAAAATAACTAGACAACAAAAAGATGGAGGGGGTTCACGAAAGGAATTGTTCCGACATATTGGAACTTGCCAAGAGTCGTTACAACTAATAGACTTTTCAGAAGGAGAAGGAAGGTCGCTCTGAGCTGCTTTGACCAAACTTCGAAGCTCAACCCTTTGAGAATACACCACCACTTCCGTGCAGTAAATAGGCTGAGTTCGGGAGGGTAGCACCCGTATTGCAGGCTACAGCACCAAGTGCCAGCTTGCCCACCATACTGGAGACGAGGTGGTTGTGCTGCGGGAACGTGGCGGGCACTGTGGACTCGGCGGTGGGAATCGCCTCTGGTACCGTTTGGCCGGCAGCGCTGGTGACTGGGGCTTGGTCCTGCTCTGGAGCTGTAGGTAGAACCGGGTAGGGCGGACTCGGCTGTGGTGTCGATCGTGAGTTTGATGGCAGTGAGGAGCGATGGGGAGGTGTTGTCGATGTTGAAAGATCGCCGGATGACTTTTGATTGGCATAACCAAGCCACACGCTTGAACTCGACCTTGAGCACCCGAGTCTGACAGTCACAGGTACCGCCGTCTCCTCTTCACAGCCATCCGGTTTGTGGCTCGAGCCGGCTTGACACTGGACTAGAGTGTGCTGGATTTGATTCTGGTGGAAGAGATCATTCCGGACCTCGGTCTTTTCAGGACTCCGTTGTACCTGGCCGCTCTTTTGTTGGGGGCTGCTTGGTTGGTCGTGACGTGAATTGTGATGATGACGATGATGAGGAAGCTGATTATGGCGATGGCGATTGCTCTTTCTCCGCTCTTTGTTGTGCCACGGTAGGCAGTGGTCCTCGACTGAAGAAGAATTATGGAAGGTGCTAGTCGGCTGACTTGTGTTGTAGATGTCAGACGAACGAACCTCAGCATAAGTTGGTCCAACCAGACCGGTAGATTTTTCGTCTCGCCACCTGCCTGAAAAGGATGCCACCTCGTGGTTGTGCTGAGTCTGGAATGAACAGGAGGCTTGAGTCCTCAAGAGAGGATCTCTGTCAGCCTCGAAGTCAGAAGCATCGCTCAGCATCCCAGGCCCCAGGCAACCGGAGCCCAACCGACGTTGTATGGTCTCTCGCCTCATTGGACAGACTGGAGTAGGGCTTACCTCACCAGCATGCATCACCTCCGGAGGCTGAATCATGGCGTGCAAAGCTGGGAGACTGTTGCTACAAGCGTCTGTAGGAGGCAGAGAACGGAAGGAAGGAAGCTCGGAGAATGGAAGTGGGTCTGATGTGATGGAAGAGGAGGAGGAGCAGGAAGAAGAAGAAGAAGAAGAGGAGGAGGAGGAGGAGGAAGAGGTCAAGTGTGAAGAGGAGTGCTCCTTCGGGTTCGCTAGCCCGGTCCGTGGTGGCTGTTCATATTTCTGCTTAATCGAAAAGTAAGGCGATATCGCAGCTTCTGTGGCATCCGTTTTATTTTCATCCTCCTGCCTCATTCTATCGTCTTTTTCATTCTCCATTTCCTCCTTACTTTCTTGATCGTCACCTTCTTTCCTCTTGTTTTCCTGCTCCCCCTCGTCTCTTGCTTCTTGCCACAGCCTCTTTCTTGCTTTGATGTCGTTTCTAGTGCTCTCTTCAATTGCAGCATCCACAAAAACACTCGGCATACAAGACTGGTTGGCCACAGTCTCGTCGTCTTCGGTGTCGTCCCCATCCTTGTAAGGTCTTTGCATAAGCATGGCCTCAGCCTCGTCTGCCGGTCTCAACTGGTACCGTTGATGTGTTGCCGAGTCCTCTAAGACTTCAGATGAGTCGACAGAACAGGCGAGCACCACATCAACTCGCCGATGCACAAACAGTCCGCCTTGAGGCCCGACCAACAGACGGCCGGCCAGGATGCGCCCATTGCGTCGGTCGGACAGAGCAATCGTAAGCCTTGGTTGCCGAAGCGCCGTCAGGTGACCAGCAAAAGAAACGATATCCATCGGTCCGGATGCTGACCGATTGGGTGGAGGCTGGCCCCGCTGCTGTGGACACAGTTTTTGGAAGGCAAGATAAGTGAGTTTAGGAGGATTTAGGTTACATTATGCTCTTTTGTAGTTATGAAATAGGAGATAATTTGAAGACGAGATTCAAAGGTTGATCTCACCAGAAGACGATGGCGGAACCCTGTTGTACTGTAGCCAGTTGGCTTCAATATGACTCTCAGGTTGATTCGGTCCACGAGATATCCTCACTCGTTTCTGGT